GGATTTGAACCACTGTTTTACTCCATGTCATCAAAACATTCATTTGTATTATAGTTGCCTTCTCTCTCTCTCTCTCTCTCTCTCGTTGTTTCTTTCTGTTTAAGTAACTATTTATTGATCAAAAGAAAATACATAAGTTAAAATATAATATAAAAACATAGATTGCTATTTTAGTAAACACTTGTTTCTACCAAACATTTATTATAAATTATAACATTTCTAAAATAATATTAATTCACACGTTTTGTTAATTGAACATAAGTTTTAATAAAATTATTAATAAATTATATTAATGGTTAAGCTGTGTGTTTAAAATATATAACGTACATTTTGAATTAATTAAATACTGTATGTTCTAAAAGTTTTAAAATTTTATTTTAAAGTTAAGTTTTATTAATAAGTTGTAAGTAAGTTTTAAAATAAATCTTAATAAATAATTTTAATCAATTAATTTTAATGATCATTATATTTGTGTTTAAAAAATCATGCAATTAAAATAGTAACTGAAAATTTTATCGAAAAAATTATAAAAACTATTTTTTGTTGTAATAATTATTGCAAATACAGTTGTTTTGTGTATTTTAAATATATTATAATAAATTATATATTTGTAATAATGAACAATAAAATATGTAGCGTTTGCGGCGATCGAGCTGTCGGTATGTATTGTAATATTGATAGTTAATTTACAATTGTATTAGTACTGTAATTATAATTTAATATAATATGCGGAAACATTAACAAAGGCTATAACTTTGATGCCCTAACGTGTGAGTCGTGTCGATCATTTTTTCGTAGAAATTATACACGTATTGAGGTATATATCTAATTGCCAATTAAATTATGATTAATATATTAATATAATATGTTTGGTCAGGATTTTGAGTGCTTTTTTGGTGACAATTGTGAGATAAATCGTTTGACACGAAAATTTTGTAAGAGATGTAGACTTAATAGATGTTTTACCGTTGGTATGAGAAATGTAAGACAATTTAATACATTTCATGTTATTTCATAATTACAATCAATAGTTAATTTGTTATTCTCATAGAAAACAATTGTTACTAAAAGTGGTCGACTCTTATCATTGAAACAATCAAAGAATATTGATTTCAGTGAAGATTTATTATATAAATCGTCAAACGCTTTGATTTCGAGTAAAAGGAATGACAATAAAATCCCATCAATTTTCAGAGGATTTATATTTAACTTAAATGACAACGAGATTAAAGTTTTAAAAGAGTTGTTTAGTTCAGTGGCTGTGGTTAGAGACCCGCCGACTAAAACCATAGCCTATGAGACGGTCTGTGTTTCGGACGCGATTCAAGTGTTGCAAAACGGAGCGGATCTCAACTTTCCTAGAATTGTCAAAATGTCGGCTAATATTAATGGATTCAAAGAGTTGTGCGAAGACGACAAGATTGCACTCCTGAAGACGGCCTGTCCTCAGCTCATGCTTTTGCAGAGTATATTTCATTTCGACTTTGAGGGCCAGTTATGGACACTTCCAATTGTATGTCATTATTATACTTAAAGTATACTAACATTTTATGATATTTTGTGAGAAATAAACTTAAATATAGATTTACCATAATTTATAAATTCATTGTTAAAAATTATATCTTTGTTTTAATGTTTAGGACGAAGAGAAAACAACGCTATTGCGAACCAGTGTTTTAGTAAAATGGAGTGAATTAATGGTAGAAATTCACATGAAATTCCTGTATTGGTTAAGAGATGAATACAATAATGATATGAATTTAATTGATTTGGTATTTCTTTAAATCTGTGCAATTAAATAGAAATATCTAATAACTTATTGAATTAATTATTGCAGTTAATAGCGGTTGTATTATTTAATCCCAATCTACCGAATCTGGTTCATAGAGATAATATAATGTATGTGTTTTATTATAGATTAAATGAACGTTTTAAAAATTCAATTTACTTAATTAATAGACTACAACAGCAGACATACATGTATTTACTTCAACGGTATTTAGAAATTAAATACAACTCAAAGTCAGAATCGGAGACACGATTTGTGCGATTAATGAATTGTTTGCAAGTATTGTATGAATTAAACGGAATATTTCGCGAATTATTCATTAGTTCTGTTAATATTGCTACACATGTGGCACCTCTTGTACAAGAAATTTACGAAATAAAAGGATTGAATTAATTATCATTATATTGATTATTATTGTATCGTTTCTATTGTCAACATTAAAATGGTTTATCAATATAGCTATCAAGAATTTGTTTAATGAATTTCTGTTTAATTCTATAAGAATGGATAATATTAATATTAAAATTAACACATATTATATTTTTAAAATGTTAAACTATTATTATAAATTAACTTGGGTGGTTTTGACTTTCCCATAAAACTACACCAATTATACCTTGGCCAAATTTAACTACAGCTGATACACTAGCGTTGAAAGATCACTTGAATTTATAAATTATCAGTTGTTTTCATTTAATAATTTTTATAGGCCAGATAACCTTGTTAGAAGCAGAAATAATTAACAAAATATATTTTCATTATTCTCTTGTATCAATACTTTATCTAGTTTTATGGACCTAACATTTGGTAAATAACATGTTAGTGACTGTACGGATAGTCGGTTATGTAGTTATGAATAGAATAATATAGAATAAATACTTTGTACCCAGATACATTGTTCCTAATACTAATCTAATCTAATTTGATGCAATTGTTAATAATAGATGGAATTAATGTTGTCTTTAATTAAATATTATTATATTTTTATCAATAATAAAAGTTTTAATATTTTTAAACAACATATAGTATGTCATTTTATAAAACTATGTTCCTGCTATCGTCTAAGAATAAAATTTTATATTGTTAAATAATTTTATTTGTGCAGATTATAACAACAATGATTTAACTAATGGCAAATAAATGATTGAATGTTCATGGTTATTTTGTTGTTTTATTTTGTTGTATGCTTAAAGGTATTGTAAAATATAATTGTATATAATTTAAGATATAGACGTCATAGTATTGTACTGAAGTATAATCACATTTAAGTGCATTTTATGCAAGTTCTCAAAAAGTAATCTTTAGAAATGAACCAATTTTTTACATTCTTTAAGTAATGATTAAAAATCTTATATTTATATAAATATGTGATAAAGTGTTTGATGTGTTTGTGTTTATCTTTAGGTTTATTATCAAATATACATTTATTCAACAATTGATTGTTATTTTAGTGAACACTTGTTTTCAATGAAGGAAAAAACACTTTTATTGATTTTTGTAAAGTATTTTGTTTCAAACATATTATTGACATTTAAATGAAAATAGTTATCCTTCAGAAAATATGAATTAATTATTTCTAATGATTTTAAATGTGTTTAAAATATGTGCCTATATTTTCATGATTGAAGATTAATTTAAAATCAAACTTTTATTATAATAAAAGTAGGATTTTATTTTAAAATCAAATGTAATAATAATAAAGACTTTTTGTGATAATAATAGTGAAGACAGTTGTGTTTTACGTTAAATAAATTATAATAATGTATAAATTTTTAATAATGAATGATATGTATTGTAGTGTTTGCGGCGATCGGGCCGTCGGTATGTATAGTAACTTAATTGACAATTAATTTATTAATAGTTAAATACCCGGACGTATTATATATAGGCTATAACTTTGATGTTCCCACTTGTGAACCATGTCGCTCATTTTTCCGCCGCAATGCCCCATATGTTGAGGTATATAATTGTTTATGAAAAGATAATTAGTTTATTAACAATACGTTTTCTACAGCAATATGTGTGCGTTTTTGGCAACAATTGTAATATAAGTCGTTTGACCCGAAAATTCTGCAAAAAGTGCAGAATTGATAAATGTTTTGCCGTTGGTATGAAAATTGTATGAAACTTTTTTTTAAATTGTTTTTCATTTACAATATTAATAATATTTTTGGTCACTCATTAGAAAACGGATCCCAAAAGTGATGAATTATCACGTGATGGACATCTGAATAATGTGGACAAAGAGTGTAATAGTTTGATGGCTGTGGAGAACATCGATACCCAAATACCATCGGTTATCAAAGGCTTTATATTCAACTTCAATGAGTTAGAAATGAAACGATTCAAAGAGTTGTTTAATTCAGTGACAGTCGTTAGAGACCAGACAATTAGGGCCATAGCTTTTGAGACGGAGAGTGTGTCGGAAGCGCTTCAGATGATGCAGAATAGGATTAATTTCAAGTTTACACAAATGGTTAAAATGTCGGCAAATATTAATGGATTCAAACAGTTGTGCGAAGACGACAAGATTGTGCTCCTGAAGGCCGCCTGTCCTCAACTCATGTTTTTATTAAATATCACTGATTTTGCCTTCGATGGCATGTTCTTCAGGATTCCCATTGTATGATATTATTGTATTTAAAGTGATTTTCAAAATATTTAATTTGAATACTATTTGTTAGGACGAAGAAAAGGCAACTATAATACGGTTAAGTCTTATGACGACATGGAGTAAAATTGTGGGCGAAATACACGAGAAATTTCTGTTTAGTTTGAGAGATGAATACAATAATGACATAAATTTAATTGATTTGGTATTTATTTTGTTTATTACAATATACACAAATGTACATGTATAAATGTAACTAAATTATGAATTGTTTAATTAAATTCTACAGTTAACAGCGATTGTACTATTTAATCCAGATGTACCAAATTTGATTCATAAACATAGTGTAATGTAAGTACAATTAGATTAAAATTACATTTAATTTTGTTATAATTTATTAATTATTTTATAGACTCCAACAGAAGACATACATGTATTTACTTCAACGCTATTTAGAGATTAAACACAACTCAAAGTCAGAATCGGAGATACGTTTCGGGAGTTTTATGAATTGTCTGCAAGTGTTACGTGACTTAAGCCGAGTATTTCGCGAACATCTGGCAAATACTCAAACACTTCCCACACGTATCGCACCTCTTGTTCAAGAGATATGTGAAATAAAAGCAATGAATTGATCATTGATTGCATTTAATGTATATTTATTTATGAATATTCTGTATATCATACATAACCATGTTAATTATAAAATATAATCAATTTATAATATACATGTATATTATGTATATTCTACATTACGCTCTTTACAGTTTAAATGAAACAAAACGAGATTATTATTAACAGGTATTATTATTATTATTATAAAAGGACAATTTCTATCAAGCGCATTTACTGCACACTCCACTTATTTCATCTAATATAAATTATATTAGCCTAATGTTGAACATATTTGATAAAAATTATAACTTTGTAATTAATAGATTGTAAATATTCTGTTTCACATACAAAAGGTTACCATTTTTCCTAATATCTAAAGAATATTAATTATAAGAATAATAATATCTAATATCTTAAGTGTAGTAATAATTGATGAATTAATTGTGTTTTAGATAAATATGTTTCCACTCATACGAACTCGACTCGAGTCGACTCAACTCGTCCAACTCGACGAAGTCAGAATCGGAGACATGTATCGGGAGTTTTATGAATTGTTTGCAAGTGTTATATCAAACAAAATAATTACCGCAATTACCGGTATATCGCAAATAATTAGCAAAATTTATGATTCTTACTACATTGTTGTATAAGAGTGTTTGATACAAAACACTCTTACAAGTGGTGTTTGATATAAAATTATAAAGAGACATATAATTATTAAACCTCCTAATAGGAAACCCCTCCGAAAGCAATAACTTTTAATTAAAAACATTAGAAAATAATAAATTATAATGAAATACAATTAGAAGGCATTACGAGGTCTGATATAAACGTCATGTTTTCACTTACAATATCTCTCTGTCTCTTATTTGTATAAAAATTAATTATCTATAAATAGAGTACATTTATTACCTGTACTTATATACGACCGTTATCTATTGTATACATTATTTTTACTCGTATATATACAGTGTTTATATATGACCGTTAAAAACTTAATATAAATTCTCTCTCTCTCTCTCTCTCTCTCTCTCTC